GAATGTTAAATGTCTTCCTTAGTTGTTCTTTACTTTTTTTTTTTTTTTAACGATAGGGTCTGTCACTGAACCCCAAACTTGCCATTTTGGCTAAGTTGGCTGGCCAACAAGCTGTGGCAATCTACCTGTCTCTACCCCACAATGCTGGGATCACTGACATAAGCGGCCATGCCCAGCTTTTATATAGGTGCTGGGGATTTGAGTCAGCACCCTTCTGTTTATACAAGTGATCATTTACCCACTGAGCCATCTCCCCCACTCGTCTTGTTCATTTGAAGTTTGATATTGTTCCTCTTGGGTTTAAAGCTAACAAGTTCTTGTCAAGTACATGGTACACAAACATTTTCCCTAATCTATACTTTGTCTTCTTTGCAGAGTCTTTTAAGAGGGCAAGATTTTAATTCTGAGTAGGTCCATGTTACCATTGTTTTCATTTTAAAATTTTTATTTATTTTCTGTGCGGGCATGTTTAGCTCACACATATCTCTGTATCATGTGCATCCTGGAAGTTCTGAAGTTACGGATAGTTTTGAACTGGTTTTGAAGTTATTTACAGTTGTTAGCTGCCACATGAGTGCTGGGAACTGAACCTGGGTCTTCTAACAAGAACAAGTACTCTTAACTGCTGAGACATCTCTCCAGCCCACATTGTTTGCTCTTATATGGATCACGTTTCTGGTGCGAATTCTAAGAACTGCTTGCATAGCCTAGGTCTTGAAGGTTTTCTCCTGCTTTTTTTTTTTTTAATGGAAGATTTATGGTTTTACACTTTATGCTTTGTAAAATGTGGGATAGGTTTGTCTGCATGGTTTTTACATATAGGTGCTCATTTGTTGCAGAGGCTCTTCCTCTGTGGGGTTATATTTGTAACTTTGTCAACTACCATGTTTGTATTATTTACATGAGTCTATTTCTGGGTTCTCTCCTGCCTACACTTCACCAGTAGACTTCTTGTGCCTTTTAGAGGGATAGCAGGCTATCATTTCTTCTTTAATTAGCTGTTATGCTTTGGTAAAAGTTTTCCTGGGGGCTGGAGAGATGGTGTTCTTACTGCTTTTGAAGAGTAGTGGAGTTTTGTTCCCAGCACCCACATCAGGCAACTCACACCTGTAATTATAGTTCTAAGATATCTGATGCCTCTGGCCTCCCATGGGCACCTGCACTCATGTGCATACACTTCCCCCAAGAATACCCATAACTGAACCTAAACCTTTAAAAGAGGTTTTTCTTCAACACTTTGGTGGTTTTAAGATAGCATTTATACAGGAAAATTCAGGGTAAATGCTTGCTTTCCTTAATATTTACTTGTTTACAGAATAATGGGTTGATATTCTTCAGCCTCCAAAGGTGGCTGATAATGGGTTTTTAACTATTCTGAACTAGTAGATTTTAAATATATTTGATCTAGTTTAATTCATGCCAGGTATCATTGATATTAAAATAGGCTTGTGTTACTGGGAGTTTATTTTTATTGGTTTCTGGCACAACTCCTACTATGACCTTTGACCATTTCTTCATTTGTAGACCCAAGATCTCCCAGGCTCTTAGACATTTCCTGCCCCAGATTGGAAGCATGCATTTCTCTGAGGAGCATGAGAAATGATAGACGCTACAGTTTCGATGTAAGCAACCCAGCTAGCTGTCCTTAACACTCACTATTTTTGTAAACAGCCGGGCGCGGTGGCACATGCATAGAGTCCCAGCACTCAGGGAGGCAGAGGCAGGTAGATCTCTGTGAGAATGAGGCCAGCCTGGTCTCTAAAGCAAGTCCAGAACAGTCAATGCTACACAGAGAAACCCTGTCTCAGAATGTAATTGTTGACATGTAATACATATATGAAAGAGAAAAATCATGACTGTCTACTTATTTTCAATTCACATGTTAAAAAGGTTTTGGCTAGAAATTAGGTCTTTTTAAAAATTATTTATTTTTATGTGTATGGCTGGGTTTTGCTTGCATATATATCTGTGCACAACATGCATGCCTGTTGCCCACAGAGGCCAGAAGAAAGTATTGTGTACTCTGAAATAGAAATTGTAGACAGTTGTAAACAACCATGTGGATGCTGAGAATCAAATCTGGGTCATCTTGAAGAGCATCCAGTGCTCTTAACTGATCACTCCAGGCCTTGGGCTTGTATATTTTACATAGAAAATCTTGATCTTAGTGCCTAATGAGTAACTTTTCATTCTACAGATAAATATTTTAGGTCTGATTCTTTGTTTTCATAACAAAAATACCCTGTTGACAAAGTCCTTTGGGAGCTATGATAAGACTGTCTCACTTAGAAGCCTTTAAAAAACATATACATACCAATTTTAATTATAGATTATATTTGTAGATACAGCCCACATTTGATGGAAAAAATTCTTCACATGGCCGAAGGGATTGATATTGGGGAGATGCCGTCATATGATCTGATGCTGCCCAAAACTTCCAAAGGCCAAAAGCGCTACCTTTCAACCTATGATGGTGAGTATAACTTGTTTCTGGAAGATGGGATTTGAAAAAATGTGGCTTCTTAAAATGATATGAGTGTGGCACATGGCTTCAAATAACACTGGGAGCATTGGATTCTATGCAAAGATTTTTTTTTTTTTGTTATGAGACAGAGCCTCTCTGTGCAGCCCTGGATGACCTGGAACCCACTTTGTAGAGTAGGGTGGCCTCAAATTCAGATAGCCACCTGCCTCTGTCTCCCAAGTTCTGAGATTAAAGGTATATGGCACCAAGCCTGGCCCAGATAAATGGTTCTAACTTACATACAATTTATGATGCTAAAAAGAACTGACAGTACAGAAGTCCCAGTATAATGCCATTCTTGATGTCTATGCCGTGGAACTTACCTCTAGCCATGAAACCTACCTCTAACTAGAAGACGCTCATTCTGAAATCATCTGAGAATCTGAATAATTAATAATTATTCTTGGGTCAGTCCAGATTGACTAGCTTTCTACTGAGGAGGAAGCTCAAGTCTTTGCTATAGTCTTCTAGGGAAGAAGCTCTAGTCTTTGCTGTAGCCATAGTAGTAGGTGTCCATGTCTTCAAATGTGGTGTTCCCCATTAGTCATCAGTTTCAAGTGTTGTCTGTTCTAGAAATACAGGTAACAGCCTTTTGTGCAAGATAAATCAGAACTAACATTTTGGTTGAAAATTGTTTATTTTATTTTGGATATGGTAGTTACAATTATATAAAGCAGTATAGAGTCATTCGCCTCTGATAAAAAAGAGAAAGGTTTATTCAGTGCATCTGGTCATCCATCATTTCTTTCTTATTATTGTCATCTGAAGTTCCTCTGGGGACCTTTAAGCACAGGTAGTAAGCGATTGTCCTGGTACATCCTTCCAGTATAGGTGAAGAGTACAGTTCACTTGTAAAGTCATCTCCTAGTCATGCTTGGCAGCAGCCTACATACTTGATGAATTATTTCCTATTAAAAGTCTTTCTTTGTGCATGGAGGGAGAGAGACCGTCGCCCTTTATGATAGAGTCTTACAGTGCTATAACTACCTTCACCCAAGTGACTGGGTTAAACCTTGTACCAAACAGTGCAGCTTTCAAGATAATACAGTTGGTGCTGTTATCCTGCTTGGTTCTTTTGAAATAATCCCATTTTAATGAATTGTAAATTTCACTCATTCTATAGGTCAAAATCCTTCTAAAAAGCAAGCTGGTTCCAAATTCCATGTGAGACCTCGTTTTGAGCCTGTACATTTTGTAGCTAGTAGTTCAAAAGCCGAAAAACAGGAAGATCCTTATGGCCCTCAAACAAAAGAGGTAAATGGACGGACACATTTTGTCAGCATACCAAGAAACGTCTACCAAGATTATACTCAAGACTCTTTCAATATACAAGATGGAAATTCTCAGTATTGTAATTCATCAGGGTTTATTTTCACAAAAGATCAGCCTGCAACAACCAACATGTATTTTGACAGTGGGAACCCTGCCCCAAGCAGCACATCCCAGCAGGCAAATTCTCAGCCACTCTCTGAGCCTTGTCTTTCACCAACCTATCCTGAGTCAGTAGTTGCTGAGAAACAGTATTTTATTGAAAAGTTAACAGCAACTATCTGGAAGAACCTTTCTAATCCAGAGATGACTTCTGGATCTGACAAAATTAACTATACTTACATGCTAACTCGTTGTATTCAGGCCTGTAAGACAAATCCTGAGTACATATACGCTCCTTTAAAAGAAATTCCTCCTGCCGACATCCCCAAAAATAAAAAACTCCTCACAGATGGTTATGCTTGTGAAGTTAGATGCCAAAACATCTATCTAACTACAGGTTATGCCGGCAGCAAGAATGGGTCCAGAGATCGAGCTACTGAGCTAGCTGTAAAACTCTTGCAGAAGCGGATTGAGGTTAGAGTTGTCCGGCGGAAATTCAAGCACATAATTGGAGAGGACCTTGTAGTATGTCAGATTGGTATGCTTTCTTATGAATTTCCCCCAGCTCTGAAACCACCAGAAGACCTGGTAATGCTAGGAAAGGATGCTTCTGGGCACCCTATTTTTCATAGTTCAGCCAAACACTGGACCAATTTTGTCATTACAGAAAATGCAAATGATGCAATTGGCATCCTTAACAATTCTGCCTCATTCAACAAAATGTCAATTGAGTACAAATACGAGATGATGCCAAATCGCACATGGCGGTGTCAAGTTTTCCTGCAAGATCACTGCTTAGCTGAAGGTTATGGAACCAAGAAAACAAGCAAACATGCAGCTGCTGATGAGGCTTTGAAAGTTCTTCAAAAAACACAACCCACTTATCCATCTGTCAAAAGTTCCCAGTGTCACTCAGGCTCTTCACCCAGAGGATCTGGGAAGAAGAAAGACATAAAAGATGTTGTGGTTTATGAGAATTCTTCCAATCCGGTGTGCACATTGAATGATACGGCTCAATTTAACCGAATGACAGTTGAATATGTCTATGAAAGGATGACAGGTCTACGGTGGAAATGCAAAGTGATTCTAGAGAGTGAAGTCATTGCTGAAGCAGTTGGAGTGAAGAAAAGTGTCAAATATGAAGCTGCTGGAGAAGCTGTGAAAACTCTCAAAAAGACCCAGCCGACTGTCATTAACAACCTGAAGAAAGGGACTGTTGAAGATGTGATTTCAAGAAATGAAATTCAGGGCCGCTCAGCCGAAGAAGCTTACAAACAGCAAATCAAAGAAGATAACATAGGGAATCAACTGCTGAGAAAGATGGGTTGGACAGGTGGTGGTTTAGGTAAATCTGGTGAGGGCATACGGGAGCCTATCTCAGTCAAAGAGCAGCATAAGCGAGAAGGGCTTGGTCTAGATGTAGAGAGGGTCAATAAAATTGCTAAGAGAGATATAGAGCAGATCATCAGAAACTATGCCCGCTCTGAGAGCCACTCAGATTTGACCTTCTCCACAGAGCTGACCAATGATGAACGAAAGCAAATACATCAGATTGCTCAGAAATATGGCCTGAAGAGTAAGTCTCATGGGGTAGGCCATGATAGATATCTAGTGGTAGGTAGAAAACGGCGGAAGGAAGACCTTCTAGATCAACTCAAACAAGAGGGCCAAGTAGGACATTATGAGCTTGTTATGCCCCAAGCAAACTAAGATTTTTACTAAATTATCTTGTAAATGCCACATGAGGCAGATCTACAAATAATAAAGAGTATTCGTTCTTAAGATGTTTCACCTTGTTCATTTCATATAATGCTTTATTAAGTATTGGAACTGGAGAATTCTTTCCACTTGTGTTAGCTTAATCCAGCAGGTGGTACTGTGCAGTTACTGTTTGTGTCTTTGATATTGCTCTGTCCCTCAGATTTTAGTAGTTTGTACAAGCAAAAACACCCATCTAAGTGCAATTTCACCCTGGGGAAAATAATTCACATTATAAAGGGCATAGCACAGCAATCTGCAAGAATATGTAAAGTCAATGCTGACTAATTAAACTATAGCTAATTCCAGATTTACTTAAAAAGTCAGGTCATTTTGTATTATCAATTTTCATCTTTGTGTGAAGCCAGTTAGAGAACGTTTAACAATAAATTGTGCTGTATGTGTAAATGTCCTTACCAACTAAATGATGTATAACTTTCTTAAAAGTAATTTTAGTGTGTTTATTTATAACTTCTACCCTGTGGTTTCCAGGATATTGGAAGTGATTTACTGTATCTTGTGATATATGACTTTTAATAAATTCTGGTCTTCATGCTGAGAGAGCACTACTTGAGAAAGATGTCGAAAAGTTTCCAAAAAGCCTTGATTCAATCAAAAGAAAGGAAGCTTGAAGTGTTTGTTCTTGGTGCCTTGCAGAGAGACTCAGAGCAACTCTCCATTGTAGTTTTCACACGGTCTGTGCTCCACATCCAAGGCAATCACAGCTGTGGGGAGAGCTTGATAAAAGACTGAAGATACACATTGGTGCTTTGATGATAAGGTCAGTTGGCTGGTCCCCCTCTTGAAAAGCTTATTAAGCCCCAAAGCCAACTTTGTAACATACTTAAAACTGCTATTTTCGCTTATTTCTGGAATGTAAAAATGTATAAAAATAGTTAGTGTATGCTTCCTGAATAAAAAGGAGCCAAAATTGATCAAAATGGTGGTGTAATTATTTCTGGAGAGCAGCCTAGTAGCAACACTTTGGGTCTTTGGAAGTGATGGTTGCACAAAACATTTCATTCAGAGCAGTATATGCTCTTAACTGCTAGGCCAGCTTTTCTGCCCCATTTGCAGTGTTCTTGTTTGGCATGTAACTGACCCACAATACATGGTAAGTTCCTTTTTGCCCTCCCCTTTTCTATTTTATGCTAACAAACTAGAGTAAAATAAGTATTTTAAAAGATAGGTTAGCTTTATCTTGATCTCTTAATTTACATGCACCTACATTGGTTACATTATGGCATCAGCTTTTCACTCTTTCCCTACCATAGTCTGTATAATTTATTAGCTTTGGTAGAAGAAATGTGCATTTTATTTTGGTGCTTAATGCTTTAGCAAAAACAGAGAACTAGGGTAGAACCTCATAGATGTTATAATTATTTTTTTTCCCTGCAAACTTTACTCCCATCTTGTAAAGTTGTGGTTCCTGTAGTTTGAGCACTGTGTCTTTGGTTCTCTGAATGATTAGAGATGGTTTTTAGAGATTACAAGATGTGGAAACTTGGTTTGCTTCTCTCTTGTCTTTCTTCCTCCCAGAATGTTTGTTATTGTTTTGTTGTGGAGGAAAATGGTAGGAAATCTAAAGTCAGATTTGTTTATAAAAGCCTAATGGAACAAATTTGTTATACTCAAGCTTTGTGATAATTGGGTAAGGTATATAGGAGTTGGATTCATTTTAGGGGTCCAGATAACTTGGTAGAACAGCTTTAGTATTAATGTGAAATTAGAACAAACTGCCTGAGAATAAAGTAATGTGGTGAGGTTGACAAGAGTGTCTGATGACTTTGCTATTCCAGTTTCCAGTTTTCCCTTTAGTTGGTCCTTAATATTTTCCCTTTCTAAGAGATAGTCATTTTAACCCAGGAACTTTGCTGACAGTGTATGAGCACTTCCAATATTTATTTGTATTAAATATAAGCTGAAAACTATGCATATATGCTTGTGCTTTTAGAGTCACTTTTAAACACCCCCCCCCCTTGATTACAAAAAGAGAGTGGAAATATACATTCCATTGGGGTCCTTTTCTTTTTTTAGTAGTATTCAGTGTGTTCACTTTGCTATGAGTAATGCTTGAAATGGGTCCTAAATAAAGGACTCTAATTACAACTTTGGTTATTCAGCATACTCTCTTCCTCACATAAGCAGGTGCAGAACTAAAGACAAGTTTGGATCTCAAAAAGGCACCTTGCAAATCTGCTTTGACTTTCTTGTAATTACATGCAGACAAGGCAGCCTGTGTTAAAAACTGTAAAGGAGAAAAAAGGGTAATTTGTATTAAATTTTCCACTGAGTGTTTAGTGGTAGCTTTGACTATTTCTATGTGAGCTTCATTGTTAAGGTTTTAAAAGAATTATACCATGAAATTGGAGATGGTGTTTCTCAGGAGGTATACAAAATAAAATGGTGCTGAATTGGCCTGTTCCCAATCTCATCCTAAATTTTTCAAATATTAACAAGTGTCAATATGTGGTGTCCAGCCAAAACAGGGTGAAAAAGTTAATTCAAATACCATAATAATAATAATTATAATAATTTGATGGGGTTCTACTTTGAAGCAGAAATACTGGAAAGGGGAAATACTAAATGTATTTGAGGACATCACTCCTAAGTGGAACAATGCAGTTAATATTGTATTTAATAGTGTAGATCGAATTTGTCCACAATGAGGTTTAAGTACCCTTTAAGAATGAAGGGCAGGGACTGTAGAGATGGCTCAGCAGTTAAGAGCACTGTCTGCTCTTCTAAAGGTCATGAGTTCAATTCCTGGCGACCAAAATGGTGGCTCACAACCATCTATAATGTGAACTTATTCCTTCTTCTGGCAGATGTAAATGCAGATAGAAAACTCATAAACATAAAATAAATAAATCTGTAAAAAAAATTAAGGGTATATGCATCTTTTCCCTCCAACTATTAATAAGACACAGCATGTCATTGTCATAGTATCTTTAAAATGAGGTTGTTCCTCAAAGGAGAGCCTACTTGCATTTCAATGTCAGAGGACATAAACATTTTATATAAATTTTGTAGTATTAAAGGTTTATCCATTTTATGCATGTGTTGTGTACCATCTGAGTACAGTCCCCATGGAGGCCAGAAGGAAACCTGGATTCACCAGTTGTGAGCAACCCAGTTATGGATCATGGGAACTGGAAACAGGGTCCTCTAGAAACACAGCCAGTGTTCAGTGTTCTGAGCTCTCTCTCCAGTTATTTTGAGATAGGGTCTTTTTATTATGTTACTGGCTGGTCTGGAACTTTTGTTCTGTACATAAGGTTGGCCTCAAACTCGAGATATGTATGTCTCCCAAATGCTGGAATTAGAGGTGCGCACAAACATACCACACTAAGCTAGAGGTTTTTTTAAGAGGTGAATTGTCAAGATCAACAAGTTAGAGCTTAGTTTCTGAGGATACTAGTAAAATACTTATCATTTCTTGCTTTTTATTACTTATAATGTATAACAAATTAATTTGTCAAAATGTTTGAAAAGCAATAACTCTGTGACTGAAAAGTTGAAAAGAGGTTTTCTAACATTATTAGCTGTCTATTCCCAGAAAGCATTTTTTGCTTTTGTTACACTTAATTTTAAAAGGAAAGATAAGTAGATAGGAAATCCCTAAAAAAATTAATAAAAGTGTGAACTAAAATTTAAGGTTATTTATTTACAACTTTTGAAAATGTACAGTTTTTCCATGGGTTACTTGTGCAAAGTATGAAGTGCTATAAATGCATAAAAATTAGTAAAAATTAACAGGTAAAATATATTAGACAAAAATTTATAAGCTTCACCTCATACTGTATATTTTAAAATGTAAATATCCAAAAAAACATTGCAGATGTGGGCATTAAGGTTCTCAAAATACTGAAAATATACAGCAGTAACTCAGGTTTTATTGGGGACAGTTTGCAAGATATGCTTCCTTCCTTGAATCATAAAGAGAAAAGCTTGTTTAAGACAACACTACTCCTTTAAAAAGATTAGAGGTACTTCAATTTTCCCTAACTTAAAAAAAAAAAAAAGATAGCTTCTAGTCCTGTTTTCACACCTCTTTACTAAGTAAAGACCTATGTAGGTCAGGATTCTAAAATATAGTGAGTTTGCACTATGAGTATCTCGCAAAAAGTGGTCTATGTTATTAAAATTGCTTCAGTTTGTTAGCTGGGTCCTTTTCTCCTTGCTACCAATAAATGCCATGTTGTAGTTCACATTGCTTAGAATAGGATTTTTTCAGATTTCCTTCCCCTTTCAAATAATGTTTATACAGATGTGTTCCTGTTTTTTGTTTGTTTGTTTGTTTGTTTGTTTGTTTTGGGTAATATTCAAAACATTGAATTTACCAAATCAAACACAAGGGAAGGACTAGCCAGGATGAAACATGGCAGCAATCATTTTGTTACAAATAACATCCTGGTCACCAGGCTATACATAACATTTTATCTTAAAAGCTTGGTATAAAAAGTACAATAACTTGATAACTACTTGGAGGCTGGAGATGAGATACAACAAAGGGACATGCAGTTGTGTTTGCAAGTAACCCAGGTACAGTACTTTGGATTTCAAATCTCTGCTGCTCCACACAGAAAGGGGAAGAAAAACGTGGGAAGTGAAGACAGAAACATCACAACAGCTATTTAGTTTTTAATAAAGTAAATGTAATGAATTAGGAATAAGGTGGTAAATTCATCAATATACATTTTTCATATAGCCAGCCTCTTCCTTTGCTCTACCCTGAGTCAACAGTCACGCCAGCTTTGTTCTACAATTGCAGAAACACGCTTTTCATATTCCCGCTTGTTCTCCTGGTACAGCTGTGCAGCCTGGCTGTTTGCTGGACTATTGGGATTAGGTTCATCCAATAGAGACTTCAGAGAAAAGAGATATTATGTCAGTTCCTCAATGAAAGACCAAAAAATTGAGAACAAACAGCTAGTTTATCAGTTGGTAACAACACAGCTGTCCCAAATAATAGTTAATTTTCCCATCTTCTACATACTAACTTAAATTAACTGCAAGTAGCTCAGGCAAATATACATGACTATACACATTATTTCCTGGTGACTTGGATTTTAATGCTCCTTTTACTTATACAATATTTAATACTCTTTTACTTAAACAATAAGCTTGGTCGAAAAAGTTAAAAGATCTAAACAATCATTAATGTAAAAACATCAAAGATCAAAATCCCATTAAAGAAAAAAAATCACCTGTATGGATGTTAAAATGGATGACACATCATAGGTTGGACTCCAACGGTTCTGGAGTATATCCAGACATATACTACCATCTGCATAGACTAAGAACACGGAAGTAGGTATGTTAAACATAAAGACGATAAAATTTAAACATACTCAAGACAAAAGTGCTTAAGACTGCTTTGCTTTTGAAGTTTTAAAGATTCTTAGGTAACTGTCTAAAAAAGTTTCATAATCATTACTAGGAAAATAAGGTGATCAGGAAATAACAAATGGTATAAAACTGGAAGGCAGTGTTTATCTGAAGAAACAGTCCTGTTTAGGGTGTCATAGATATTTTTCCAGTGGATATCCTATCCATAGAATTGTGGGAAATTCAGCCCACCAAATCTGAAAGCTATATATCCTATTTGTAATATTAACAACTTAATATTCTTAAAGTTTTATTTTGGCTTAAAGATAAAAGTCTTAACACCATGAAAAAAATTATCATTACTAGAAAAAAAAAGTAAAAGTCAGAATCATATAGATTAGTACCACATTTCCAACAAACTGTGCCAGGTCCTTCAACAGAATCTGGTGTTTGGTGGGTCTGATGTGGAACCACAGAATCTGTGTATTCAAAATGCTCCAAGGAAATTCTGATTCGCACCTGAAGTTGAAAATCATCTTTCTGAATGCTAGTGAAGATAATTACAGTACACAATTACCCTAATTTGGCCTATCATTAAATAGAACTTCCAATAGCATCCTTATTTTTAATAAGTAACAAAGATCACAAAGCCAGCAGACTGTTAAGACTCCAAGCAAAGGATCCTCTTGCATTTCTAGGGCTACAGATCAAGACAGCCAAAGACCATAACAAATTTCAGTTTCTAGAGAAAGGAAGATACCCTAAGCAAATACTCAAATGCTATACATATGCAACAACAGCATTCAGAATAGCAGTGTAATAAGCATTGTAGGTCCTTACAAAAACATGTTTAAAATACTTGCCATTAGGATGGAACATCTTAGAGACAAATCTAACAGTAGGTGGTTTATTTGGATATTCTTCAGTGAATTCAATTGTAAGTTTAAATGTTCCTGTAGTGAAAAAGAGGAGGAGGAAATTTTATCACGTTTTTCACATGTACTTTGTTTTTAATGCTACCTGAGTTTTTTCAGTTATTAAATGACATAATATAAAGACAGTCACCATAAACAAAATTGCTTTTTGCTTTAAGTCACTATGCACCTTGATGATATCCTTCAAATGACAAGGTACTGAGTCCCAAATTTGACTTTCTTCCTTTAGACTAAGAGAACTTGGGACTAGTGATACAGATTAGTGGGAGAGCACTTGCCTACAATGCAGGTTGCCCTAGGTTTAAACTCCAGTAACCCTGAATACCTCAGAGGACTATTGCAATCAGCCATCACCTTAAAATTCTCTTATAGTCCCCAGGAGATAGGAAAAAAAAGGTTTCAAAACCATTGATAGAAATGAAAATCCAGAGTTAATACATAAAATAGAACACAGAAAAACATTCATTGGTTTCTTTTTATATAGTATTATAATGAAAACATAAGCTAAAACAAACTTTACAGTGCCTCTTACAACCCATAAAGTTTAACCCATTAAAAAGGCAGTGCAATCATTCATTCTAATGGAGGAACTAACAAAAATAATTTAAAAACTATTTGGTTTATATTGCATTGATGGCTCCTACAAATTTATCTTTAATGACATTTTTTAAGGTTACTGGCATTAAAAAGAAACAACTTTTAAAATACATGCCAAGCTAAGGTTAGCTGAAGGCCCTAAAGTATACAGATTATAAATGCTCTAAGTATCATTCAAGATTTGTAAGCTGTTCTGATGTGGTGAGAGGGCACATCCTTTAAAGTGTTACTTTTAATTGTCCTTAGATTTAAGAAAGCAATAGGCTTTTTATTTTTTTCTGACTTAAATTTCTTCAAGTAAACCAAGAATCAGTTATGGGGCCTGATGAGGTAAGCTAAGTGCTTGCCAAGCAGCATCTCTGGAACCCAGATACAAGTAAAAAGAACAAATTCCATGAACTTGGCTTTAGACTTCCACAAGCACACCCTGGCATATATAGAAACACATCATATACATATACAATAACATAAAACAATCAGGCAGGGCAGTGATTGTACATGCCTTTAATCCCAGCACTCAGGAAGCAGAGGCAGATGATCTGAGTTCGAGGCCAGCCTGGTGTGCTCCAGAAGAGCTACAGCTACACTGAGAAACTCTCGAAAAAAAAAAAAAACTATAGATATACATATGTATGAACATATATATATGTTTACATATGAATGGTTCATTATTATTATTATCTGGTTAGTATGCATGTGCATTACTATGGCCCATTTAATTATTTATCACTATGAAGTAGCCTATACTTTAGACAGAGTATAAATTATTACAAGTTCCTTTAGAGCTAACAATTTATTTCTTCCTGGCTTTCATTCATAGGTGTATTCCTACTTAAGAAAACAGAATACTATATAATTTTTACTAGTATATCTGACACATAACAATATCAAAAATTTGATATTCTACTACCAAGCTGACCTTGCTATGAATGTGTCAAAAAAAATTCCAGAATAATTTAAAATACAATACAGGGACGGGCAGAATGGCAAAATTGGTAAAGGCACTAAGCCTGAAAACTTGAATTTGATTCCCAAACCCATGAGGTGAAACGAGAGAACTACCAGGTTGTCCTGTAATTTAAACATGTGTATTCACAAACATACAGAAAACAAATGTAAAAAAAAAAAAAATGCTATAAAGCATCCCACCCACACACAACAAAAGGAGAGAAAGAATTGTTTTAAAAAGGCAACATGGGCCTGTGAGTATAACTTAGTAACAGTAGCATTTCATTTAGCTTATTCCAAGCCCTGGGTTTCATCCACAACACCACAAAAATAGAAGTAAACAAAATGTAACGACTGCAGTTGTACCGTTTTGGAGTTACTGTTACTCTAAGAACTGTTTTCTTTTGACGGCCATTTGTAAATACTGTATGAAGGTAAGGGAGCAAAACAGTAAGAAATGGTCATACTACAGGGCATCAGAGCATACTTTATGCTCATCAGCTCCTGCTTACAGTTTTCCTTTTTGTTGCTTAAGACAGAGGGTCTCAAAAAAAAAAAAAAAAAAAGACAGAGGGTCTCTCTGGATAGCCCTGGCTGCCCTGGAACTCCCCACAGAAATCAGGCTGGCCTTGAACTCAGAGAATCATCTGCCTCTGCACCTGAGTGCTGAGAGTAAAGGTGTGTGCTGCCATACTCAGCAACTTTCCTCTTCTTGATGAATTGCAATTCTTCTTTTTCAGTATGAATGACTGTGAAATGCAAAGAAAGTGGAAATGGTAGACCATGTTCAATACTTAGAATTTTCTTATGTATAAACAACTGGATTAGTGAGGAAATCTCACTAAATTATTAGGTAATGGATTTATGACCAAGAAGCAGCTCTAAAACTGGGCAGAGACTCCAGCTACTGAACTAAACCATCATTAAAATGGGGGACCATAAGGGGGTAAAGCAATACACACAGAAAGCAACAGCAAAAACACCACAATAGGCTTAAGAGTACAAGCTCAGGGCTGGATTCCCAGCACATACATGGAGGATCTGGGGAGCCCATGCCCTCTTCTAGCCTCCATAGGCAATAGGCACACACATAGTACACAGAAATGTAGTAAAACACTCATATCTTTGTTTCTATATTTGACTAAACCTCATTTTTTCATGTGCAAAAGAAGGCTAATAATTAGTATTCACTGCAACTGTTGTGAGGCTTAAATGTGGCACATGTGAATAGTCCTACAATGTTCTTCATAAGTGAACAATTACTATGATTCTGCTGCACTTATCTAGACTTGGCTGAATGACAGAAAACTCTAAACTCTGAACTTTACTACCAGTCAGAAACACACAAGCAAATTCAGATATTAATCAATTCATTTTCGGTCACGTAGCAAACATTATAATCATAAGTTGAGTATATTTGCAGCCTGTTCAAATTCTTTGGCTGGAGCCCTTTGCCTAACTGTGGCCTGGAAAAGCAAGGACGGTCTTACCCTAGCTACAAAGTAGTGAATCCAGTCTTTGTAAAAGATTTAGTTGTCTTCAGAAGTGAAACAACCTGTTTATATTTACTTGATTCATAAATTAAGACTTACCCTAAAAAATAAAAATAAAAAATAATAAAATAAAAAAAGACACCCAAATAAATCTTATTCAATATATACATTTAAAAGTCAACATCCCTTTCAGTTACATTAAGTAAATAGATCCTCTTCAGTAGAACTCTTAATGCAATTTATGAGATCTATAAAAATGTTAAGGAATTTTTTTAAAATTATAGGCTATTAAACAATTTCATAGTAGAGTTCAACTTCAGAGGGTTAGGCTCCAAAATAATAAGTTACAACTCATAATATGTTGTGCACAATCTTTACTGATTTTCTTCATCTTCCTGAAGAGGCCAAACCATTTTAAATGCCAACATGAATATGGAGGCCAGAAAAATAAATGTCTAGTATATGGCAATTAAGACTAACATGGTTGAATTAATGAGTATATGTTCTGCCTAAAGATGTAACATAGATTCAGTGTTTTTTAATTTGAAGTTATAAGTCAGGCCTGATGGCCTATGTGGCACAAAAATCTCTAATCCTAACACTTAGGACTAGGAAGCAAGAGGATCAGGAATTCCAGGTCTTCCTCAGACACATATTTGAGTCCAGCCTGGACTATAAGAAACCCTGTCTCAAACACACACACACACACACACACACAGAGAGAGAGAGAGAGAGAGAGAGAGAGAGAGAGAGAGAAAGAAAACCATGTTAGTCAAAGAAAACTTTTTCTAGTCATGTTTGTCATTTGACTAACTTAGAAGCCTGGAGGCAAAAGCAAAATTATGTGTACTTCTTAATTTTTTTGATGACTGAAAGAAAATTCTTCATCATTTTTAGTGGTCTTTAAGAGATACCTTTTTAAAAAGAAAGGATATACACATTCAAAATCTAAAAGCCACATACATGATTAAAAGTAACTGCAACTATCTCACTCTTAATTTAATATATCCCATAACTTTATTTATGCTTATTACATTATATGTATTTAGCTTATATACAAAGGTATTTCAAGAAAATGTTTTTTTACAATGTTCTGGTAGTTGAAGTTTTCCAGAACATATTTCCTCTCATTTTAAATATGTGAATCTAAAACAAACTGCCTTTAAGATTTCCTTTTCTCTGGGGCATGCTCACCTGTAATCCCAGCACTCAGAAGGTAGAAGCGGGCAGATCTCTGAGTTCAAGGCCAACCTGGTATACAAAGTGAGTTCCAGGACAGCCAAAACTACAAGGAAACCCTGTCGCTAAAAACAAAAACAAAACCAGGATTCTTTTCTCAGAATTTCCTCTTTTTGTTTGTTTGTTTGGTTGGTTTTAGTTTTTTTGAGACAGGGTTTCTCGGTGTAGTCCTGGCTGTCCTGGACTCACTTTTGTAGACCAGGCTGGCCTCAAACTCATAGAGATCCATCTGCTTCTACCTCCGGAGCCCTGAGATTAAAGGCATATGCTACCACTCCTGGCTTAGGATTTCCAAAGTAGGACCAGGTTCAGAAACATCTAACAAGGAATAAAGAAAAGATGTGTGAGGGCTTTAAATTTGGAAACACATGTGAGACAGCAAAATCAGCTGTCATTTTTCTCTATCAAATTTCTTCCATTATTATAAATTCTCCAAATGTAATTAGGAGTAATGAAAAAATGGTCAGAATTTGGTTTTGCCAGTCAGAGCTCTAAACATCCAAGGCAGCATCCATGTATAGTAGACTGTTTTACAGAATCAGTTCAATACTGTCATTTAGCTTAACAGGGCAAATCTCAATTCTGAAACTGCTTTGAGATTACTGATCAGAAAATCCTAGTGAAAACACACACTATAAATGAATTAAAAAAAAAAGGAACAAGGAGGAAGGATAGTATTGGGAGGGGATGAGGGAAGGCACTACAGCTGGGATACAAAGTGAATACACTGTAATAAAAAGTAAATGCATTTTTAAAAAAATAAATAAAATCAAGAAACAATGTTACACTGAAAGGCATTTAAGAGCATTGTTAAAGTAGTAAGGCTGATGTACCTTCTATGTCATATTGTAAACGCCAGGTAATTGTGTGTCAGGGAATCTTGCACCCATTTGGCACTCACCAAACCGCACACTAAGCACTGCTGAATGTCCTTGGAATGGAAAGCATACTAGACCAGATGGCCTTTGGTGGACTAGTTTCATACAGAACTATATCCGTGGGGGCTGAATTTAGCAGGAACACAGCTCAAAGCCCACAGTCCTTAACACCAGGCACTATTTGGTACTTCTTTTAAAAACTGACTATTTCTACCCAGAATGTATTAAACGGAGGAAAACACCCGAAAATGTGCAGTTCTGGTTAAGCAGAGCGACCATCCTGAACAACAAGCCACACACACTTGAGCCTTTTTTTAGTAGGCGGAGGAGGCAGGTTCTTTAAGCTGGGGGCGCTTGCTGATGACAGGGAACCCCTTCCCCTGATGAGTAGGCTCCTGTAAGATGGGTTAGGAAACTCTTTCTTACCATCCTCAAATGGGGTCCCTTCAGGCCTGTAACAGAAAAAACAAAAACAAAAACAAAACCCAGTTAAGACCCGACAGCCGCGAGGCTTCCCCATCTTCCCAGAGGCCCCCAAAGAGAAGGCTCCGTCAATGTCTCCCATCCTGGCCTCCCGTCCCCCACCGCTGTCTTGTGTGAGGAAAGCTACTCTGGTCCCTTTAGGGGCTCCCTGAGGCTGCGCAGGCAGCCACCGCGGCAACTGCCACCAATCCCCACCCCGCCCCCTAGAACCCTAAACGGCTTCCATGGCAGCGGGGAACCAAGCTAATCGAGGCAGAGGCTCCGTGGAGGCGCATAGGCCCGAACAACCCCAAATATCTTTCCCTTTTCCTCCCAACCCCCCGCAGTTCGTCGAGGGGCCGGCCCCCGTCCCTCATCCCTCAGTGGCGGCCTGAACACAGACTCACCCGAAAATGACCGCGTTCCAAACCATTATGTTGTTCTCCGACGGAGCCCCGCTCACTCCGGCCGGAGGATCCTCTTGTAACCTTCAGAAACACACGCCGGCTCCCCTCAGTCCCGCCACTCGCGGCCGGCCCCCCTCACCACACCCGAGCCACTCCGTTTCGGGATCCGCCCAGCGCCCCGGCTGGGCAGCCCCCCTACCTCCTCTCCCTAACCTACGACAGGTTACCTCTTGAAGTCCCTCATGAGGCGCCGCCGGGCCGGGGTCGACATGTCTCTAGCGGCGTCAGAGGAGGGGCATACACCAGGGTCCGCGGTCCCTGAGGAATCCGAGGTAGCCGAAGTAGTCTAGTTGAGGAAGCGCCAAGAGTGACAGCGCTGACTCTCCGAAGCCGAAGGTCGGTCTGGCGCCGGCTAAGCCCCACCCCTGAGTAGATGGGGACAGAACCAACCTGAGGGAAAAGCAAGGGGGGGGAGACGTCTCACAGAGGGCGGGCTGTACCAAGACGAGCGCGGGGAAGGGGGGATTCAAAGTTGTTAGGTCACTCAAGCCCTGCCAGGAAGACCGCGCCCATGAGCGTGGGGAAGTAGCAGCCAATTTTGAGAGGAAGTGCTAGGGAGGGAGCAAACGGAAGCCTCCGACTTTTTACGGGGCAGCCTGATCTGAAGAACCCTGCGAAGTTTTCTTTTTATATTTACCTACTTTTTTCTTTTCTTTTTTCTATTTTTGCTGTTTTGAGAGGAAGTCTCCTGTAGGCCAGGCTGCCCTCGAACTCACTGTGTAGTTGAGGATGACCTTCAACTTCCCACCTCCCTGCGTTGACCTCCCAAATGCTGGAATTACAAGAGTGCACCACCGTACCACTCTTTAATTACTACTTGTTTTGTTGTTGGTTCCCCTCCCCTCCTCTTCTTCCTCCTCCTCCGCCTCTTTTTCCAGTTTAGAGACAGGTCTTCTGTAGAACAGGCTGAAGTCGAACTCACAACGCAGTTGAGGATCACCTTGAACTCCCCACCCTCCTGTGAGGATTACCAGAGTGGACCACCACACCAGTCTTTAATTACTACTTGTTTTGTGGTTGGCTCCTTTCTCTCGTTTTTATTTTCTTTCTTTCCTTTTTATTTTTAAATTTTGGTCTCAATAGTAACACAATTTAACACAACCTAACTAAAAAACTGAAACTCACTGTGAATCACAGAGGCTAGACCTTGAAGTCACCTCAGACTGCCAAGCGCCTATGATGACAGGAATATGCCTTAACGCTTTTTTGTTTGTTTTGAGAAGGTATGCTTTATTAAAGTGCCAACTACTCTCCAGGATGGGGTAAGGAGGAGAGAAGAGAATATTGGTTGAAAGAGAAGAAAGGAGGAAAGAGTTAGCAAAGGCAAACTAGTTCTCGAAAGGCAACCAGTTTGGGTCACAATCCTGCAGACAAAAGAGACTAGGGTAACATTAAAATCACAGAGAAAGAACAAATAAAAGGGTCTTGACTCTGAAAATGGACTCTGGGTCCATTTTCTCTGGGATGATGATGCACAATTCAATCCCAACATTTAAGTCTAGGGCTGAATAAAATGTTTTGGGGACGGTGGTGGAAATGAGAGCTTCAGCAGAGAAAACAGACTTTTAACAATTGCTATGGGCACTCACAATTTGTCTCTGGAACCACATTTCCCCTTGTCAATTCAACAAACCAAGCAGCTAGTTTAGAAGAGTCCAAAGTATGAGATTCTCCAGATGCAGAGAATTGTTAAGGCAGTAGTTCGGTTGGAAGGAGAGGTAACTGTAGGATGCATGTGAAAAAGGTGCAGGTTGCAGGGAAGGCTCACAGATCATATAGGGAGTAACAGCTTGAAAGTAGTAACAGCTTGAAAGAAGCATTTTGAAAGATCAATCCAAAAATCACTTAGTAGGCAGACAAAATACACCTTTAAACATGATGGAAATTATCATAAAGGTAGGTTTGACTTAAATCCTGGAGAGCTTTGAATGCCAAGCTAATTGAATCCTTGGAAGGTAGTTGAGCAGGGAAGTGACACCATTAGAGCTCTGCTAATCAGAATATGCTCCCAAAAGAGCTCTTGTGCTACTGTTGGGAGAGGGGGGAGATACTATACCAGGCAATCTCACCTTCCAGCAGCCAACAGCATTCTTTACCATGACCTACCACAGCTTGAAAGTCTTGAACAGATTTTCTCTCCCATTAAATCCTCTCTGTCTCTATCTATCTATCTATCTATCTATCTATCTATCTATCTATCTATCTATCTCTGGGAGAGCCCAGTTTCTTATAGTCATCAAAGAAAAGGAGGAGGTAAATAAAGAGTACCTGGCAATAGATTGAATGTGATGGCAAGAAGCCAAAAGTTCCTGAAGCTTTCAACACCAAGAGAAATAGAGCTTTGAAGTAGCATTAACAAAATTCGGTATAAAGGGTAACAGAAACATTTGGAAGAGAAAATTTTGAGTAGAACTTTCTGAGCTACTAGGGCCGATGTGAAGATGTTAAGAAATCATCAGGTGCAAAACAGAATTTGTTTTATGCACAGGAATAGGAAGCACATGCCAACAGTAATGATTTTACTAGGTGCTCTACAGCAAGTGCTTTCCTGGCTAGCAATTATTTCCCATTAACCCCAACATATGTTTATGCCTGATTCGCCAGACCCCCAAAAGACTACCAGGAGTTGAGTCTGTTGCAAAAACACATGAAGGTCTTTATTTGAAGCTCGAGCTGAGACTCTCACAGACACCAAGGCATTGGTTTCCAGCTGAGAGCCCCGAGCTCCAGACTGTGGGTGATTTATAAGTCCCAGTCCCTCCCAGAGCACCCAAAGCAGGGGGATGCCAGCCTGGCAAGCTTCTAGTGGTTAAAACAGGACAGGAGAGGCTATATTTCAGAAAACATTCTGGCTTTCTTTGTTCTCTCTCTTGTGAGAGGGTGGCTGGCCTTGGGTAGTCTGTGCTTCTGTGCTATTTTCATGGGCAAAGCTACAAGTTGTAATGAGTTGGGGGCTATCTGGGCCGGTTTCCTGGCAATGATATCTCTAATGAGCAGCAAGGTCAGCTTTTCCCTGCAATTGGCTGGATCTGCCTAGAAGCAGCAAGGTCAACTGGCCTGATACGTTTTAAATTTTTTAGCTCAGTACCCCAAAACCTAATTTTTAATTCTCTGGCCTCTCAATATCAGTTAAAACAAGTTTCCCTAGCAGTAGTGTATTATGGCTGTGGTCAGGAAAGGTTACAAAACTAAATACCAAAAAAATCCTTTCCCCTCATCTAGGAACTTAAAGTTTTCTATTTCACACATGAAATTAGCAAAATCAAGGCCTGCAAAAACAAGAGCATTTGCTTTCTAGCACAGCTTAGCTGATCACCATTAACTGTAGGCCATGTCCTGTTCCTTGTGGTTATAGGACTCAGGGCCTTATTTCATTATTAATTGCCAAATTGAAACAATTCCCAGCTCCCAGAGGCCACCTCCATTCTTTGCTATGTAACCTACGCACTTTTTAGTCACAAACAGAATATTTCTTTCTTATTAACTCCTCACACTTTGAAACTTCTTCAAGGAGAACACAGTGTACTTTCTCCAACTTATCTGATTAGATCAGATCCAACCTCGATAAACTCTGTATTTAAAAAAAAAAATGGTAAATCATTACTTAATCTATTTTGAGGAAATATTTCATTTCCCTTCTGTTTTATGAACATCTTTTAAATATTACTGTTAGATCTTTTCATGTTTGACCTGTAATATATTAAAAGTTATATCTGTAACAGTTTTCATGTCATAATGTCTAAAATATTGTTGAATTCCAATAGAATACATGCTGAAGCACCACCAGCCCCAATTATTCAAGGGCATCTCCAAAACATTCACCATCTCTAACAAATGTGTAACCTTAGGATCATGCTCTCCAGAATTTAAGGCAAAAGCACACTGGAATTCTGAATATGAATTTATGGTATGCTACATGTATTTCAGTTCTCCAAACTCTGTAAAATGGAGCACACCAGCCACCTTCTCATCTTGTTCCAAGACAACACTAAATAGGATCTGCATTTCTACTTTAGCATATAGGCTGTCATCTAGTAATTGAACCTTAACAACACACACACAATCTCCAGTCTGACAAAGTTGGCCTATAGCTGAAGACTTTCTCTCCAGCATCTCAATGGGCTGTCATTTTGCAATATCTTCAAGCCTCTGCAAACATTTCTCATCTGGAACCACCTCTTTTGGTGTTATTGTAAATACCAGATTGGGTTGCTATGAAGGCTCTCTATTTTGATTCAAAGATTCCCCCAACTTCTGTTCTATGACCTTTAATTTTTTTTATTCCTAGACCACTGTTCAATCCAAATAGGTTGGTCAGCCAGCCAACTTAGTAGTAAGTCTATGGGTGTTTTATCAGCAGTGTCTTCCCAAAACGAAGTTGAAAAGATGGCCTCTGCTGTATTTTGCTTATGGACAGCGTGGACATTCTGTAACTATTTTTTGATGACATTTTAAAATAATTTTAACTTCTTTATCAGGAGTATTACCTGTTTTTTGGCTTCCCTTTGAAATTGGGGGGGGATGTTAATCTGGGTTTTCCATTGTAACAGAGCTCTTCCCCTTAAGTTTATGGCTGTCTCAGCCACATATGGCCTTAATTTTCCCATTTGACCTTCTGGTCCTGTACATTTAAGCCACCTGACACTTTGTTTTACTTTAGATAAAGTTCCAACTCTTAGTAATTGAATATCCACCTCTTGAAATGGCCAATCTGGGGCCAGGATTTAGGAATGATAACTATGACATCAGCCCCAGTATCCACCATGCCTTCAGTTTCAATATTATTTAAAATTAACTTTGGCTGTTAATCATTTAGAGAGGTTTGCCAGCATATTTGTTTTTTGTTTCCTTCCTGATTTTGTGATTTATCTATAGAACTTGCTCTGACCTCTCTGATTTTTTAATGTTTATTCCCAGAGCAATGGTGTTTAATTTTCTTGTAGAGGAATATCCCCGTCCTGTATTAGGACTTTTGAGAGGTTCCCTTGGGTGTTGTTTTTGATAGAGGATTACCCCATTTATCTGTTGCTGCTCTACATTCACTAGGCCAACATCGACCCTTGCCATATCTTCTGCATATTCTAGGAAGCACAGGCTCCCTTTTTGAATTATTTTGGATTTCCTTTGTAGTAACCTTGCTCACCATAATTATGACATTTCCCAAGGCCTGTAGGGCTCGTTTCTTCTATCAAGGTCATACTGGGTGAAGGAGGTCTGATGTCAATTGTATTTCTAATCCATTCTTCTGTTGGTGCAGATCTTGCTCTTAATGGCCTATTGTCTCTTCGCATTCAGTATTAGCATTTTCAAAAGCTAAAGATCCTATGCCTTTCTAGATAGTGGATCTGATATACTTCTATCACAGCTGAGG